AGAAGTAAGTGTGATTATATATTGTACTTATATTTTCATTTAGTACAAACACAAAATTATAGCGAGTGGCCAACGCTTTGGGTATATCTGAGAGGACGGTGCGAAGCATCAAGACAAGAGCGGCATCTAACCCTGTTTTGGAAAACCCGGGTAAGAAACGGCTCTGCAAGAGAGCCAAATCTGACGATTTACCAGAAAAGTGCAAAATGGGTATTAGAAATACGTTATACAATTATGTATGCACAAAGTGAGTACAGCTGAATAGTATATCTCTTTTGCATGTCTGACATACATTTTATTACAGAAAAACATGTCACAGTTGCATCTTTAAATGCTGAAATTCGTAACAGTCATATATTACTGAGTGATAGAAGTCTTCATCGTGCAATCTTGTCGCTAGGATTCAAGTTCAAAAAAGACTCTAATCGTAGAGCTTTATTGGAAAAAAGCAACATAGCCTGTAAAAATAACGCATTAATGACCTGTTAGATTACAAGGATTTTGTTTTCTCACCGTCTTTATTACGTTAATAACGAAACTACGATATTTTATACCAATTAAAAACCAAAATCGACTAACGATACTTTCTGCGATTTGACAGTTTTGCACCTTCAAATAAACATCCAATAAATGACAGCTGTCGCCATCTCGGAGTATATTTTCTAATCAAGTTGGCATTATTACGGAAGTAATTTGACTCATATTTTTCATATTAAACCATACGATTGTGAACTATGACGTACCGGCAATCTCTAATGGCGAGGATAATATATTGTTTAAATTGTAACCTATAACGTTTGCATCATAAATAAAGCAGACGATGTATAATACGCACCGACATATGACAGTATTCATTGATTTGAAAGTGTAATTCAGGTAACGTATCCATTTTGAACTTGGGATAGTTCAAATTTGCGCTTTACATGAGCATATCCTCCACGATTTTTTTATCGTACATTTAGCCAAACCAAATGTTGGATACACCAATACCACATTATTGATTTACCACATAATAGGTAATGCATAACAGGTATTTGATAGGCAAAGCAAAAAACGGCAAGTTCCATACAACGAGCTATAATCTAAGGAACCACTACAGCCAACGTGTCAGTTAGAAAAATCAACATCATTAGCGCAACCAACGTGGACGTAACATTTTCAATCCTAGACATTGTGAAACATCACAGCATCTTATTCAGGTATTTAATTAAGTGACATAAAACTTGTTTCCAAATTCATTCCAGTCAGATGATCTTTCCCTATTTTCCACAATTTAATACCCCATATCTAGATAGATAGAACAATAGATACCAATCACACTATTCATTTAAACAAGCCGTAAGGATTGTATTAAACGACTTTCCACCGTAAAAGTGCGGTTTTCCCTTACATTTAAGATGAAAATTTACCATTTATCGCAATAACATTGGGAACTCCTCTAAGCGTTAATGAGAAATGTTAACTTTTTCGCTGTATCCACCATAGCAATTTATTGATTGTGAAAATCCGAATTGACACACCTTGTATCAACACTTACCTACATAATTACGAAATGTAATTCCGAAACGGCACTAAGAACAAGGTTTACATACAACTATCCAATACGTTTGTTATTCCATAACATAAGTTGCATGTACGTATTTGACCTTTTTGTTTTTTTTATTCTAGCCCATCAGCACAATAAATGCCCAATATAATAGTAGTCAATAATTGTTTAAATGTATGATAATGCTTAAATAGACAATATTCAAAATTTTAAGCTCCCCTTCTCAGGACCTTGCAAAATCAAAATTACTTACCCTGCGGGATTACGGTTTATTGACTTCACAGAAAAATGAACACTGTTCTGAAATGTAATACTTCTCGTAATAATGATGTAAACCGGGAAACACCAAGAATAGGAAAAACCGGCATCTAAACCACTGCGCAAGTAATAATTTACCATTTAATTAAATTTGGAAGTCGCGGCTGCAAAATGTCGTTTTCAGTCAATAGCTACTTAAAGGCATGGGAGTCCAACGTCACGCTACATTGTTTTCTAATGTTAAAGCAATTCAAGAAACAAAAGCAAACACATCGGTGGGAAACATTATTAGCATACATTACAATGAATAATTTAAAGTAATTATTGTATTCCAGGTCAACTTTTTTATCTGAACAGAACCATATTTTGGTTTCAGTTACGTTTAGGCTTGGTATTTTGTAACACAAACATAATTGTTCATTTATGGATTACTACTAAATTACCTACCTACTGATTGTGATTACTGATTACAGATCCTTTTTAATTTTCAAGATATCGGTTTGTACGGACTACCGAAAGTTCGTCGCAGAAGGCCGAAGTAAATTTAAGCCATGGAGAATTAGTAAAGCTACATTTTGCCATTTATTGCTACAAAGAGCGTGTTTCGTCTAAAAATTTCCCAGAAGTTAAACTTATTCTAGTACCATTCGTATGGGGAGCTTGCATATCGCGTCTTTCGCAAATATGAGTTTTCCCAAAAAAATTTCAATATCGGCAGCAGGAACAAAAAACTTGCGTACTGCTTGATATTATAACTTTTGGAATTATGTAGACGCCTTATTGTAATAAGAAACGTTCCGCTATTAGTCTTAATTGTACGCATTTTGGAGGTCAATGTTGAATGTTCAATTAGAAACATCTGTTGTTGATATTGGCAAGTTTTCTGTGTCAATTGGATGTACACAAGTCACTTAAGAGATCGAGTTGAAGGCTAACGCATCATGCAATATGGCTATCGTAAATGTTCGGAAAAAGAAGACAAAGAATATTTTGCTTAATATTAGCGTTTCCGAAATCTGCTGACTAACAATGGACCAAAGTGTACCCTTAAACTCATGGAAAACGCCCGCCGAGTGTCGTAAAGGTTACAATAGTTTGATTACCCTTCGCATGAATCCACAGATGGTACTTATGGTAAGTTGCCAATAGAGAAATGTTTTTATTTTTCATCAATGAGCTCCTTCTGGCATACAACTGAACCAAATCGTTACAAAGATATCTATCTAGTTGCAAGACATTTTAAATGTAACAGTTTCTTTCGTGGTATACGGAAACAGGAAATGCATAATCGAATCGAATGGCATAAATATATCTGGCATAACATACCGAAAAACGCTGCTTCCTTTTGAAAACTGTCCAATGCACTGGTCACGGTGCCACTGCACAGCTGCTTACTTCACATAAAAGTGCAGATCTCGAGCAATAGACATGGCAGTGGCGGAGTAGAAGGGATGACTTACTAAAGTGGACGTCTAAAAAATTCAAATGAAAATAACGCACTTGAATGTGATTTATCATCTGGATCCATATATTTCCCTTTGGGTATCAATCTGACCGATTTTTGTCCGCAGATAAAAAATGGAGAACTGTGTCAAGTAAAGTGTACTAGTTGTAGGCTTTATTTGAAGATAGCATTTGATAATTTTGAAAAATGATTATCTACCCGCCCTTGTGTTAAAATAACTCGTCGCGGTGTTGTTTGGTTAATTTCTTTCTAAATTATTTCTTTATACCTTTTATACCAAAACAAAATTATAGCATTTCTAGGCACTATCTTACATGACCATCTGTTCCCTATGTGTCGTTGAATCACATCGTTTCATTCATTTCGATCCCTTATACTGGATGCGTTATCTACAGTTTCGACTGTCATAGTTCTCCTTATTGAGGTGTTCTTATCTACAAGCTATATTGATAGATGACCCCAAGAGACGTCCAAAGGGTACCTACTTGATTTGTTTTTTTCAAAATTTTGTTCGACCGAAATTTGACTATTATACCTACCTAACGGAACTTTTATTTCATCAGTTTCAACGTATTAACGCAGTTTTCTTTAAGATAGCGAATTGTTTTTTATTTTGCTTTTATGCTTACATAAGTGCTACATCCATGTTTACTTTGCCACTTCCTATGTTTGTATCTTGATTTCACAAATAATTTAATACTGCCCTTAGCGATGGTTTTATGGGCGGAAAAAACATCTGCCTAGTCTCTCGTTTTGCATTTAAAATAATTAGCACGTATTTTACTCAATTCGTACCCCCATTCTGTCTACACTAAGCGTGTTGAGTGCAACCTCCTAATTAATTACGTATGTCGTGCACGTAGCGAACTTTTTACGTAATTGCATGATTATCTTTACACGTTTAGATAAAATTACTATACACACTCAGATTTGAGATAAGATAAAGAAAACAAAATCCTTTGAAATCCTTCAAATTAATAAAATTTTTTCACTTATTTCTCTTTTTTACTTTAGTTTATTTATTTATTCATTTATTCTTGTAATGTTGAAATCTTAGATGATTATTCCTACTTGAAATCTGTAGTACTGTAGAGAAGACGAATGGAATTGCGTGTAGGTAATTACTGCATACGTACATGGATGTTATTACCAAGATAAAAATGGAAGATTTTGTGTTGTGTTTGTCTGTGCCAAGTAGTTTATTCTAAATCTTCTAAGTAATTATTATTTTCTTACCATAAAGTTGTTAGTTTCTAGTTGAACTAATCACACATTACTACCATTACTACTGCCATTCGAACTGCTACGAATACGTACAGTTCTTTACAAATTTATCAATATAACCTTAATCTCGTTTGATAATCTTAAGTAGGCAACAATTTACGTCACAATGGGATTTTCACTCTCAGTATATTAATTGTGCAAGCACCTATCAGATGCAATGCCAAATTGCTCTATTGAAAGAAGACACTTCATTGGTAAATTAATTGCAAAAAACCTTCCTATTCAACGATTATTGTTCAACGTCCACTGAACTTGAGTATGGTACTTTCCAAAACGGCATACCTGTCGGGATACTATTAAGGATAGAAACTTGGCGCAATTCGTGCTCGTCTCCCCAAAGAACCATTAAAATCAAACACTGGCACCGTTGCAATGGAACACTAATTGATTCACAATAAAAATCCTGCTAAAACAAGAAAACGCAGTTTACTCAGTGACACAACTCACCATTAAAAAAACAGCGACAAAACGAAATAATCCATTCGAATATCAACACAGAAGTACGCGTGTACGGTACTCGTTACTCACACTATCATGATTCATGAATGTAAAATCTTTCTAGAGAACTACGTCAGCTTCCCTTGATAACTGATTTCTCTGACTAACAAAGATTGGCTTGTTTTTGTGTTTTGCCTGGATATATTTCCTACTTATGGCGGGTCTTTCAACTCTCTGTAAAATTTATTTGATAAATGTGTTTCAAGTTGGAATATCCTGAGCAAATACTTGGAACGTTTACCAGCATTATTTTGTTGAATGAAAATGTTTTTACTTAAATATCATAATTAATCTGGGCCTTAACCAAAGAGACATATGTCATAAAATTTACTTTCTTCCCGTAAAATCAAACTGTTTTGTCGTTTTTCCGACGAAATTTGTAAAAAATGAAGCTTTTGTTCTACCAATTTCATCTGGGTCCTAACCAAAGAGGGATGGCATAAAATCTTCCAGCATCGCAGATCCAAAATTTTAATTTATGGCATGCGGTCAACTACACCACCCACCACCTCTGTCCAGCTAGCTCTAACAAATGAAAATTGAAACTTAGATTTTTTGTAGGTAATCTCTCCTCGCCCACTTCCGGCATCTGCTGGAAGAAAAATCCCAATAAAAACGCATTAAAATAATTTTTTCCTCAATCTCTTTCCACAACGTCACCATATAATAATCAATTGGACTTAATAACATCAGCTTCGACAGAACGCGTCCCCACTTGCGCCGAAAATAACGTGCAATTCGCCAAAACCCCTTATATCTTCTAACAGCGTTAAGAATAGGCGCGCTAATTAAATCTCGTCCGACAACAAAGCTTCCCACCGCAAACGGCCAGATGTGCCTACATTCCAATATGCAATTTCACGTTTTACAATTTAAGACACGCATCTAAATAAACAACTTATAAAAGCAAAAAAATATACAACACACAATTTTAAAAGGAAAAATAACACTGAAACAAATTCAAACAAAATACACCAACTTTGCGCTTACTCGTAAATAATCCTCCCGATTTACACTTAATAAATTGAAATATTCTTCATATATCCATTTTGGAGTGAAGATTTTGAAAAAAAACCGCAAAAAATCAAATAAATACATACTCCAATAAATAATAATAATAACTTATCATGGGAAGGAGTTTAATCATTTATTTATTTCTTATTTATGGAGAGATATATGAGATACATTCTAAAAAGGCTTGTATATTATTTTTGTTAAGCGTATTTTTTAATTCAAAGGATAATTAAAATATATTTAACTGGAACAACCTGAAATTAGTCAACTAAACTCATTGTGGATCAGCAGGATTAAGACCAGAGCTATTTTAGGGGTTCAATAAAATCTGCAAGGTATTCCTGCCAATAGGAAGTCATTATAGACTTCTTCCTGACCTGGAAAGGGCACATTGAGCGAATATCCCGCATGTCTTGGCGATTAAGAAGGGCTTTTAGCTGATGTACATGGGGCTTTAAGGCGGCTAGGGACAGGCCATTCAAAATTTAAGCTGCGCCTACGCAAATAATTATATAGGCAACCAATCGTGCAATTCGACAAGTTTCACCAGGCATAAGTTACCTGCAAATGACCTCATCTTCCTACAATAAAACCAGATTCCAGACCCTCATTAGCGGCTATTCAACAAAAGTAACTGATTTATGGAATTTCAACTTTCCCCTGATGTTTTACAGTTTTACTAATACTGGAAACCTTTGAATATATAATAGGAAATCAAAGCTGAGAGCTCTACATACCTATATAAAAATATTACTAATGTATTACTTTCTAAGATATCATTCCTACTTACTTCCTATATAGGGATTTACAATAATGACTTTTTGAGATTTGGACTTGGGTAATGAAGGGAACAATTTCCGAAACAAGAAAAACTGGTCTTCAATTTTTGTGGTTCATAGCACAAATTTATTTAAACAATTATCACATCCGATCAAACTACGGCCCCATAGATTTCTAAATTTATATGATAACGATTTTCACAGGTGCCGCGGATGTAAGAATGGTACTTTTCTTCAGTTAGATGAACAGTTTTCGCTATTTCGCATGGCTTCCGCAATGTAGCCCGGTATTTGCTGCGTTTTCAACCTTCCCCCATTTATCAAATTATATATCTGAATTCTGATCTAATTTACAACAAAATAAATGACGCATTTTTCATTACAAAAAATGTTTTAATAGATTTTCGGAAATTTTCCAATTCCAACACGACATTCGCCTGATGCTTTACGAAAATAGTTTATTTGGCTAGCCGTCAAACCTTCAGTGGAATTATCAAAAGCATAGGTAGATTAAAAAATGGGATCGAAGAGAGATCGGCGCATTTTTGTGTGGCCGATCAGTATTGTATTAGCCATCATAAAAAAGATCTTATCGCAAGCTAACACATTCCCTTTGTCGGTACCCGCTTCCGACGTTCCGTTCACTCACCATTCGCATTTAGATGAATTTTGCTAAATCTCGGGAAAACACTTTTTCTTATTAATTTTGGTGCGTAGAATCCAAACAATTCGTACTTTTTCGATCAGACTTCTCAATCAAAAGTTATAGACTTAGAAACCAATTTCGAAAGAAAATTCAAAGGGCTGTAACTTTTGAATTAGTAGCCCAATCTTGGAACTGTTTGAAATTATGAATTCTACAGGCCACGTTCTATAAGAAAAATTTATTTCCGGGACGATCTGAGACAATTTTTTTTCGGGGCAAGAAAAGGCAGTGTATAACCTTCCTTTTTTCCACGTTCTATAAGAAAAATGTATTTCCGGGACGATCTGAGACAATTTTTTTTGGGGGCAAAAAAAGGCAGTGTACTCTCCACAAAATAGTTCTCAATTTTTGGGGCACTTCTCATAGCTCTATTAGCCACACGAGAAAGAGAGATCGCGATTCGAGCTTTCAGAAACAAAATTCGCAGAGGAAGATACCTTTTGGGCGCCCTAAGTCAACTACCCCTCGCAGACGTACGCCTTGTAAAATGAGGTTAATTTCGTACCCAGGAAAAAAACAAATTTTCGCTACGCAGTTTTTGTGTCCGTTTACAAGATCTTTCCAATGGCGCCATTTTGAAAACAATCTGAAAACTGATGGTGGAGTAAAAACTTCAAACTCGAATTGCGGGTGAGCGAGACGTCGGAAGTGGGTACCGAGAAAGGGAATGTGGTGGTCCCCGCCAAGATCTTACTGATGGTGGAGTAAAACTTCAAACGCAAATTGGGGATGCACGGGACGTCGGACGCGAGTACCGACGAAGGGAATGTGGTAGCTTCGACAAGATCTCACACGAGGACTTTGACAATTTTTTACTAACGACATGCTGAAATAAAAAATTATCACTTGTAATAGTGCTTGCTATTTCCGGAAACTTTTCGAGCTCACAAATATTTGAACTTTCGCAAAATATTCGTGAGCAAGAAAAAAATTCTATTCAAGCACTGTGGTATTCGGTAAGAAAATTTGACACCATAGTGACTTTCAACGAAAAAGTGACGTTTTATGTCAAAATTCCGGGGATGTCCTTATGCTGGAGAACATTCCTGAGAGGAGTCTTTCGTCAAGGGAATTTTATGTCAAAACATTATTACCTTTTTACGTCAAAAAATTGACGATAAATTCCGTGGTTGCCATGGAAATGTGACACGAAATCCGCATTTCATTGGTCAATAAAATTGCTGGTTGAAATTTTCGTTGAGATTTATCACCTAAGGTATGTAAGACACACGATTATCAATTTTTGTATTAACAGTTTTTTAACAGAGCTGCTAGATTCAAGAAGGTGCAACAAACAATTCGTTATGTTTATCTATAATAGGTACATCGTCCAAATTGTACATAATTTTTATGTACCTAATCGATATTATTAAATTGCTTTTTGATAAGTAGGTAACAATACACCTACATCAAATGTATGAAAAAAATGTATGAAACGGGTCTAAAAAATTAAAACGTTGTTACTCCTGAATATTGACGCACAATATTTTTTTAATTATCGCTCAATTATCGTTGGTCCTAATAGACGAATAAATGGAAGGCATTGAGATTCTTTTGTTACTGGTCTAATAGGGTCATAAACCATTGTATATAAGTATAATGGTCATTAGGTGTTAATATTTTCCAGGTAAAAGTGCTACCTGAGTTGCCTATCGTCATTGTATGGAAGGTATTGCATTTCTTCCGTCGCTATATTTTATATAAACTTTTGAGTAAAAATTACGGGTTATTTCATAATTTGAAGCAGTTCGTAATATATTTTTTTAATCCACTTAGTTACTAAATAAATTGTGCGGATTTACTTTTTAAATGTTTTTTTTACTAAGGCCAGTATTCGCGTTCTTAGTAAATTCAAGATTATCATTTATACACGACTTGAATAATTTTATCAAAAAAATAAATCGCTACATTTAATGACTTTCTATATCTCTATCAATTTCCGATAAGACCTCTAGTTAGAATTAATATTTGGGCTTCAAAAATTACTCAAAAGTTTCGACTTTTATTGCAAATTTCAGTGACCATTGTGTGTTGCCTATCCTCTATCCCTAGCCCCCTTAACACTGTATTGATAAAGCTAACAATATTGTCTGGTGCACTTATATGGTGGCCTGCCATGCGCAGGGAAAACTACAGGAAGCAGCTTGAAAACGTTCAGAGGCTCAGCTGTGTGAGAGGCACTGGATCCATGAAAACGCAGAGGTTCGGAAGGCTTCCAATCGACTAAATGATTGGGAAGGCATGTGATCCGGACTTTTTACTAAGACCGAAGAGTTATAAGGATTCTCTTCCGGACAGGGAACAGTGTCTGAACTCCGATTACCCGTTCCTCAAACCTGAGGGGTTGTTTACAAACGTTTTATATGCAAAGCTTAAAATCAATTTTTAAATTTCGTGTCTTTGTTAAACAATCTTTAAATTTCATGGCCTCTAATTGATTCATCCTTTTGTAATTATGACATCATTAGTATCTCGTTTTGATTAATTTTTTAGCTACATTTGACTCGATTACTTGATTTTCGTTGTACGATTTGATGTACGTTTGATTTTCGTATATGTCTGTTTGTACGTTGTTGCT